TTTTCTGCTGTTAAGTTAACAATTGACACCTCAAAATTCATACCTTATCAAGCTAGCAAGCTTCGTGCGTGAGATTTTAAATCCTGCACTGGCAAGGGCATCAACCCTGAGCGATGATTCTACAGTTTTAAATGAACTGGTCCTGCAGTTTAGAGGAAAAATTGAGTCACTTGTGCCGGGTTTTTACAACATAAAATTTTGAAAAAAACAAGTTCAAAGTTTATATAAAGGTATGAGAACGTGAGTTCACCTTGGCGGTTCATATTCTAGAGCAAGCAAAGGAATCTGAGTGCATGAAACACCAACTTTCCCCACCTGTAGAAAAACTCCCATCGGAAAAGGACGGTAATTAGATCGGTTTGCAACAAGCAGACCAAAGCAACCAAACACAGATTTAGCCCAAACTCAGGCATAAAACATCTCAGATCTTCTCCATCATGCAGATTGTGTTAGAACCAAAACACAGGTTTGGGGCTGAATTTTAGATTTATTAGTCATGCCACAGCTATGGCAGGTTGGGGATACATATAAGATAGCTTGCTTGAGTCTTAAGAAAGCTACAGCATATTCTAGAGATGCTAAAGTAAATGCTAGGGATAAAGATAAGGGCTAACACAGCCACGAACTACTCTAGATAATTATCCTAAATAGATATGGACAAGACTTATATCTGTCATTCTCCCCCTAAGTCTTGTGTGGCACCTTCTGGGGAATTTGAACCATCCCAATCCTGGCGCGAAGTTCCTGGAACTTGACCCACCCAAGGGGCTTGGTGAGAAGGTCGGCGACCTGATCCTGGGTGTTGATGTAGCCGGCCTTGATGCTCTCCTCATCCAAGCAGCTCCTAATAAAGTGGAACTTGATTCGGATATGCTTGCTGCGCTCATGGAAGACGGGGTTCTTCGCCAAGGCCAAGGCGGACTTGTTGTCCACCCTAAGCTCCACTGCTTCTGCGTCTCTGCCCAGGAGATCGCCTAGCAGCCGAGCCAACCAGAGAGCTTGAGTCGAAGCGGTTGTGGCAGCGATGTACTCCGCCTCGCAACTGGACAGAGCCACCACTTGCTGCTTGACCGACTACTAGCTGATTAGACACTTGCCGAGGAAGAATAGCGTCCCGCTGGTGCTCTTGCTTGTGTCGATGTCACCGGCGAGGTTGCTGTCGCTGTACCCGATGAAGTGCTCCGCACCGGGACACCTCAGGTAGTGCAAGCCGTAGTCGAAAGTGCCCGCGACGTAGCGGAGGATCCTCTTGACGGCCTGCTCGTGCTCCGTCGTCGGTCGCTGCATGAACCGACTAACGTAGCCAACGGCGAACGTCAGGTCCGGCCGTGTGTGGACGAGGTAGCGAAGGCTGCCCACAATGCGCCGGTACCGCGTGGCGTCGACCTCCTTCGCCGTGCTGTCGTGGCTCAACTTCAGCCTCTCCTCCATGGGAGTGTGTGCTGGGTTGCAACCGGTGAGCCCGCCCAACTCGACGATGCGCTTGGCGTAGACGGTCTGGCGAAGGGAGATGCCGGAGCTGTCCTGGTGGACATTGATCCCCAGGTAGGAGAGAAGGCCCAAGTCGCTCATCTGGAAGGTCGCCTTCATCTCCTCCTTGAATGACTCCACCTCGGCCTCCTTGGTGCCGGTGATCACCAAATCGTCGACGTAGACGCCTACCAACAGGGCATTGCCTCCCTTGCCCCGTCGGTAGACTGCAGCCTCGTGAGGACTTTGATGGAACCTCATTTGCTTGAGAGTGGAGTCCAACTTGGCGTTCCAAGCTCAGGGTGCCTGCCGCAAGCCGTAGAGGGCCTTGCGTAGGTGAAGAACCTTGTTATCCTTGTCGGGGATGACGAATCCCGGAGGCTGGTGGACGTAGACGTCCTCCTTCAGGTCACCGTTGAGGAAGGCGGACTTGACGTCCATGTGGTGCACGCCAACCCTCCTGGGCCGCTAGTGCAAGGAGATGGACGGACTCCATCCGCGCAAAGGGCGCGAAGGCGTCGTCGAAGTCGACTCCCTCCTGCTGGACGAACCCGCGCGCCACCAGACGCGCCTTGTGCCTGATCACCGCCCCGGCCTCATCCTTCTTGAGCTTGTAGACCCGCTTAAGGGTGATGGCGCGGTGGCCGGCAGGAAGATCCGCCAGCTCCCGCGTCCGGTTCCGCTCGACCGCGTCCATCTCCTGCTGCATCGCGGCGCGCCATGCCGCGTCTCCCTCCGCCTCAGCGAAGGAGCGGGGCTGGCCGTCCTCGTGTGCCAGGTGCAGCTCCGCCTCGAAGTCGTGCACCGCCAGTCCAGGGACGGGCTTATCACCGAAGATGTTGTCCAAGGTGCGGTAGCGCAGAGGCTCATCGTCATGGTAGGCATCGACGCGATCCTCGTCGTCGGACAGCGGAGTGGCGAACTCCACCGTGCGCTGCTCGTCACGGACCAAGGCTGCTGGTGCCAATCTCGGAGGTGTGGGCGCCGATGCAGGAGATTGGGGAGCCGGTGTAGGAGAGCGGGGCGTAGCCGGTGGTATAGGTGGTGGACTTGCTGGTGGTGTAGGCGGTGGAGTACTCGCCGGAGCTAATGGCGAGCCGGGTGCTGAGGTAGACGAGCTCGGTGAAGATGAGCTGCTAGCTCCCCCGGCTCCCTCGAAGTGGACGTAGTCGACGACGAAGTCCTTGAGAGTCGAAGTAGAGCCATCGTCCACCGCCTTGTCCCAGGCCCAGCCTCGCCCTTCGTCGAACACGACGTCCCGGGAGATGCGGACGCGCTGTGTTGCAGGGTCGAGGATGAGGTAGGCCTTGACGCCCTCCGCGTAGCCGATGAAGACCCCTGGCGTGCTCCGGTCGTCGAGCTTGCCGACGTGGTTGAGCTCCTTGGCGAAGGTGAGACAGCCGAAGACGCGGAGGTGGCTCACCACCAGCTTACGCCCGTGCCAGGCCTCGTACGGCGTTTGCCGTCAAAGACCTTGGTGGGCGAGCGGTTGAGGAGATGGACGGCAGTCATCACAGACTCCCCCCAGTATATTGCTGGCATCCCTCTCTGCTTGAGGAGGGCGCGGGCGGTGGCCACCACCGTCTGGTTGTGACGCTCAATGACGTCGTTCTGCTGCGGGGTGTACGGCGCGGAGAAGTGGCGCTGGATCCCCTCGTCGGCGCAGTACGCCGCGAACTCAGCCGCCGTGAACTCGCCGCCGTTGTCGGTGCGTAGCACCCGAAGCTTGCGGCCGCACTCCTCCGCAGCAGCTTGATGGCGCTTGATGGCGTCCGCAGCCACCGCCTTGGTGTCGAGCAGGACCGCCCACATGTAGCGGGACACGTCGTCGACGAGGAGCAGGAAGAAGCACCGGCCTCCAGGTGTGGCCGGTGTCACGGGGCCGCAGAGGTCACCGTGCACGAGCTCCAGCTTCTCCTTGGCACGAAAGCTCGCCTGGCGGGGGAAGGGGAGCCGTCGCTGCTTGGTGAGGACGCAGGTGTCGTAGAACTGCTCCACGTGCTCGACTCGCAGCATGCCCTGCACCATCTCCTTGTTGCTGAACTGCTTCAGGGCCTCGAAGTTGAGGTGCCCAAAGCGACGATGGCGATCCCAGATACGCAAGACCCTGAAGCGCGGCAGGCTGTAAAGGCGACGATGGCGATCCCAGATATGCAAGACCCCGTGCTCGATCTCCACGCGCGAGCCGTTCTCATCCAGCTATCCCAGGCTGATGATGGAGTTCCTCAGCGCGGGGATGTAGTAGACACCGGTTAGCAGTCGGTGCTCGTCGGTCTTGGTGGTGAAGACGACGGAGCCGACACCCTTGATCTCCACGGCGGAGGCATCCCTGAACTTGACGGAGCCTCGAACGCCGGAGTCGAGCTCGGAGAAGAACTCCTGCCGCCTGGACATGTGGTGGGTGGCGCCGGTGTCGAGGTACCACCCATCGATCTTGTTGCCGCTGGACCCGTTGCCGAGGAAGACGTGAGCCCGCGGCTCGTCGAGGTGGAGGAGCGCGGCGGCGGCCGGCGCGGGAGAGGAGTGCGGCTCGATGCTCCCGTGTACGAAGAACAGAGCCGGCTCGTCACCCTCTTGCGCTTGCGCGACGTGTGCCTGACCGCCGCGCTTCGCCTGCCGGCAGTCCGTGGCCCAGTGCCCGGTCCTCCCGCAATTGTTGCATGTATCGTCGTGGGTAGCCTTGCGCTCACCGTCGGCGCCGCCAGGAGCGCCACCACGCGCCTTATCCCGCTTGCGCGGCCGACGCTTGAGGCTGCTCGACGAACCCGAAGCCGAAGAACCCGTGGCCTCCCCCTTCTTTCGCTCCCGCTGGCGGGCGAGCCACTGCTCCTCTGTGAAGAGAAGCTTGCCACCGATGGTGACCGGCTCTGTGGGAGGTAGCTGCTCGCGGTTGTCGACGGCCTTGAGGCGACCCGTCACCTCCTATATCGACAGCTCGAATAAGTCCAGCAACATCTCGATCGCGATGGCGACCTACAAGTACTTCTTGGGGAAGACGCAGAGGAACTTCTCGACAGCTCTCTCCTCGTCGATGTCGTTGTCGCCGTACCGCGCCAACTGCTGCATCAGGGTGTTGAGGCGGAGAGCGAAGTCGTCGACGTCCTCACCCGGCTTGAAAGCCAGGTTCTCCCACCCAGACGCAGCTTCTGAAGCGTGGACCTACGGGCGCGGTCGCTGCCGATGCGTGCCGCGGCGATGGCGTCCCAAGCGTCCGTGGTGGTCCGCTTGTTCGCGAGGGAGGAGTGCATCTCCGTCGGAACAGCAGCAAGAACCGCCTCCAGTGCCCGCCGATCCTCGTCGAAGTCGGAGTCGCCATACCGTACCGCACCCCACATGCGTCGCGCCTGCATCTTCACCTTCATCACCATTGACCACTCGGCGTAGTTGGTCTTGGTGAGTATGGGCCATTCGCCGCCGGCGTCCTTGACGACGGTGCACAACGGGAGGGGAGCCGGGCCGGCCACGGCGACGGTCCGGGGAAGGGGAGGCGCGCTGCCTGTGAGGGCTCCGCGCGCCAGCGTCCCGTCCGCCTAGGTCCCGCGCCTCGCGCTGCTCCTCCCGCTCCAGCCAGGCGTTGGCGTCGCGTGCCGCCCGCTCGTCTCGGTCCCGTGCGTCTCGGTTGAAGTCGCGGCGTCGTCCGTCGAAGCGGCCCGCGTCGCGTCTGCGTCGGTCGTCGAAGCCGTCGCAGTCGCCAGCCTCACGTCCACCGCGTCCGTCCAGGCCGCCTGCGTCGGGCCAGGCCCGCTCGGCGTCCGCTCCGCGGCGCAAAGCCGCAGCCGCCGCCTCTCCTGCATCCGATGCGCCCGCCCGGGCGCCGTAGTCCTCCTGCTCGCCCGCGTTCGCATCCACACGGAGCGCAGCCGCCGCTGCTGCAGCCTCCCGCGCCTCCGCTGCTGCCTGGTGGGCGGCTTCAGCCGCACGCGCCGCAGCAAGCTCCGCCTGGGCGATGCGAGCCACCCGCTCCGCTGCTGCTGCACGCTCAGCAGCCGCCTCCTCGCGCCTGGCTGCTGCAGCCGCTGCAACACGTATGCTGGACGTGGTGGAACAGTTGGAGGAAGAGGATGAGGAGTGGAGAGACATGGCGACGGATTGGGATGGGGTAAGGGTAGAACCCAGATGAACTTAGGCTCCGATACCATTTGTTAGAACCAAAGCACTGGTTTGGGGCTGAATTTCAGATTTATTAGCCATGCCGCAACTATGGCAGGTTGGGGATACATATAAGATAGCTTGCTTGAGCCTTAAGAAAGCTACAGCATATTCTAGAGATGCTAAAGTAGATGCTAGGGATAAAGATAAGGGCTGACACAGCCACCAACTACTCTAGATAATTATCCTAAGTAGATAAGGACAAGACTTATAGCTGTCAGATTGATCAGAAAAACAGGGATAAGTACACATCAAGCTCATAAAACGTGAACTAGGCAAAAAAGACAAGTACAGAACAGTAGCACAATTTGTAAGACAATCCACCTTTTCCAGGGTAGAAATCAGATAGTCAACAAGTTCTGGATCAACAAGGACCTGGGCACCTCGTTCCCCCTAACAAAAATGGAAATAGACATCACAAATGATGAGAAGGGAAAAAGGTAGGAAATGACCAAATCATTCGAAAACCAGAAAACATGTGATTGGGTGTGCACCTGCAAAAGAATATCTCCAACTTTCTCCCTTGTTATTCCTGTCCCGAGAATAGCACCAAGAAAGTCACCATGTGAACAGGGTTCCAATCGGAAATTCCCTGAGATGCTGGGTTGACCTCAATGTCAGCTTATATAGAAGATAGCAGTGCTTTATAAGGTAAAACTGAGAAAACCTCAAAGCGGCAACTACATCTGGATTACTTGTCATGAAGTCCGGGTGTCCAACAGAGATTCGGCACCTCTCAGCCTAGATAAATATAAGAATGAGAAACTAGATAGGCTAATGGAGGCAATTAAGAAACTACCATTTGGGTTATCAAATTTGACCTGAGGGTAGCCACCCTGAGCTACTGCTTTGATATCTGCTAACTTTTCAACTGCCAGCATAGCCTCTTTCACTATAGGTGGAGTAAGAAAATTGGTGTGGAAAACATCTCTTCGTTGGGAAGCCCTTTCTGCCTGCATAAGGATGTTAATATGAATCCATGAATAGCAAGAATAACCATATATTTCTGAGGAATGCTAAAATAAACAAGAAAATGTAGTTATAGCCATGCATTCTGTGTTTCCTTCAATACAAATTTCCATTTGAGATTATATGAATATAATAATAAATTTTTTTTAATGACATGAAGGAGTGGATGCATGCAACCATGTTAACAAAGTCAATACGATCACGTAGTGGCTTTTCTCTTTCGTCAATTTTCTTTTGGAAGGACAACCAGATCTTAGTTCATGATATGTTCTCCGTCATCTATACAGACGGCTCTTTTCCATCAAGTGCTTGTTGCTGAATTTATATATGCATTTGCCGACTCCAGAACTGCTCTCACCTACTCCCTCCATCCCAAATTATAAGACGTTTTGGCTTTTCTAGATATATTACTTTTGCTATGTATCTAGATATACACTATGTCTAAATGCATAGCAAAAGTAATGTATCTAGAAAAGCCAAAACATCTTATAATTTGGGATGGAGGGAGTATTAGCTATCGCAAGGACAGCCAGATATTAGTTTAGGGAGTTCTGTTTTGGTCATCATTTACAGACTTCAGCAATATGTTTTCCAGATACGATACCCTCAGTAGTGGCCATCATTTAAATTTGCATTTGGCAACTCCAGAACCGTTCACTCATTATCTATCACAAAGACAACATAAGAGCTTTCTACATTCAGAGCCTACCAACAGAATGTAGTTGAAAGTTTAGTTTGGATGCACAAGATGGACACTCTTATTGATAAACAGTTTCATAGGACAGTAGAGAAAAGCAAGACTTTAAAGATTTCTCATTGCCCCTGTTTTCCATACAATCCAATGTTCTCTGAGTTAAAGCTGGAACATAACTCAACACTGGCAATAGTTTTGCAATGGAAGCGCCTGATTCCAACACATTTAATAAAAAAAACAATGCTCACAAGCAAACTCTTACAAACCAGTTAACAGTTATGTCCAACAGACACTAGTCAATAATCACTACGTTACTAACGCTAGCAGTTAGACAGTTCCATGACCACCAACTGACCCTGAATTCTCAATAATCAAAGGGGAAAAACAAATTACCATATCCAGAATGTTCCTGACTTCCTCTGCTGAATTCCTGTCCACGCTTCCTTTCACCGACGAATCCCTAGCTGCTGCGACGGCAATGGCGGTGCTATACCGTCCTGGCTCGGGTGGGCCAAGCGTCAGCGGAGAGGCAAAATCGAAAGATGAGATGGGGCCTTCGGGCTTACCTCGCGAGATGAAGTAGCACGGAACGGGGATGGCTCTGCGCGGGTGAGGAGCGCGGAGGAGAAGCCGGAAAGGACTCGCCAACGCGAGCGAGGCGGCGGTCATCCCTCGTTCCAGGCTCCGGCGAACCTAGGAATTCGACTACTCTGGTGCCCAGTGCTGCTGGTCTGTGTGGCGTGGCCGTGTGCTGCTTTTTGTTGGGGAGAGAATTCCCCGTAAGCCATAAAAAAAAATCGTACTGCTTTAACTTTTTTTTTCCTTAGATTGGTCTTAATCGTGTCAAATTGTAGCGGTGAAAAGTCGAAAATATCCTTAAATTTAAATATGTCATTAAGTTTTTTGAGTATCTTAACGATTTTAAATGAAAAAACTCAAAACTCGAAAGTTATAGATTTCGTCGAAATCTATAATTTTCATATAAAAATTATTTTCTTTTAATACCACACAAAAGATATGATTAAATGAAGATATGATTTGATATGATTAATATATCTTAGAAAAATCATATATTTTTTGCGGTATTAAAAAAATATGCCTCTCTAGTTGCAGCCAACTGGCCGATCTCGGAATCAACACACAGCAGCAGCGCAGTAGAGTGCAGTGCAGCCAATCTCTCTCCCTCTCTCTCCCCTCGTGTCACTTGAGAGTGGATTTTCTCAGACTTTCAAAATGCAATATCACACAAATCGCAAGTCTGTTTGATGAGCCGTTTGAAGATTATTATTGGAAATAATGTGCCTAAAAGAACAAGACCCAACAAGGCTACGTTTTAACAAAGTTTTCAAATGTGGAGCCCATGTGCCACTTATTTTTTAGTATGAAAATATAGTCAATATGGGTCTTGTTTTATAGATTTAATTATAAGGAATATTCTAGTGCAAATAAATTACAGAAACAATACACTGTTTAGAAGCTATGGCCATTCAAAATTTCATAAATCAGACGCCACAGGGACGGGAGAAGAGGAGCGCGGCGGTGCCAGAGCCAGACGGCAGGCCGCAGGCGCGCCTCTCGTGTGTCTTTGGGCGCCGCGGTTACCGAGGACCAGCCATCACAAGCAGTAGCAGTCTTTTTCTGTAGCCATGCACTGATGCACTCCAGTGATTTGAGAGATGAGAAAAAGGCTGCAGTAGCAGTCTTTTCTCTGTAGCCGATCACAGCGGCAGTGCGAAGGCTGAGGCGACAAGCCACAGTGCTCGCCTGCGCAAAAGCAGCATGGGCCAGCTCGACGCTAGAGTTTGTGGCGTCGAGGTCGGCGCCAAGATCTGTGGCGTCGATCTCGGCGCCATGGATTATGGCGCCGAGGTACCGGCCACGTTAACTCTACCTAGGATTTCGGCCAGACACTTTGGCGCCAAGATCTATGGCGCCAAGACGTGTTACCTCGGCGTCATGAGTCCTGACGCCAACTCCAGGGTCCAAAGATGAGTTTAAGTCTCTATGAGGCAAAACGTAAATTTTCTTTAAAAAAAGGGTTAAATTGTAAAAAATTAGGGGCCGTGCGCTGGTAACCGGCTTGTCACGGCCTTGGGCCTTTTGCGTCAAAAAATACCGGTGCCTGACCTCCCTACCCGCTCCACGTCAGTCGTCACTCAAATTCGCCCGCCGCCGCGACCGCGATGACCACGCTCCTCCGCCGCCTCCTCCACGCGGCTCCGTCCCCCGCCCCCGCTTCCCTCTCCAGCCACCTCCCCTTCTCCACCAGATCTCGCCGCACCCCTCACCGCTTCCGCCGCGGCACCAACACGGCGCCGCCCTCCCCCGACGCCGTCTCAGCAGCTATCGCATCCCTCCCGTCCCGCCTCACCCCGACCGTGCTCGCCTCCTTCCTAACCTCCACCTCCGACGCCCGCCTCCTCCTCCCGCTGCTCACCCACTCCCTCCACCTCCCCGCGTTCCGTCCCGACCCCGCCCCATTCCTCGTCGCCATCAAGCGCCTCGCCACCGCCGACCTCTACTCGGACTTCGACCGCACCTGCGCCCTATCCTTCTCTCTCCTTCCCTCGCTCTCTTCCCCTGGCCCCCTCCTCCGCAACGCGCTTTACTTCTACTGCCAGTTCGGCAGGCTCGGCAAGGCCTTCCACGTCTACACCCTCATGCGCGCCTCCGCCGACCCCGCAGCGCGCCCTTCCGCCGACACCTACCACGCGCTCTTCACCGCGCTGCTGTCGCGCGGAGGCGGCGACACCCTGGTCCATTACATGTACATGGACAACGTGTCGGCGCTGTTCAGGCAGATGCTCGAGGAGGGGATCCCGCCGGACACGCGAACGCTCAACGTGCTCATCAGGGGCTACGCGCAGTCGCTGCATCTCAACGACGCGCTGCGCCTGTTCCACCAGATGCGGCCCCTGTACGGGTGCGAGCCGGATGCGTTCTCGTACAGCTACCTCGTGCACGGGCTGAGCGCGCAGGGCCGCACCAGGAACGCTCGGGAGCTGTTCGATGAAATGCGCGGGAACGGTTTCCTGCTGACGGAGCCAGCGTGCAATGCGTTCGTCGGTGCGTTGGCTATGGCTGGGGAGGCCGAGGACGCAGAGCGGGTGATGTGGGAGATGGCCAGGGCCGGGAGGGTGGTGGATGACATCACAAGGAGGGCATTGGTGGAGGAGTTGTCCAGGGCCGGGAAGCGGGAGGATGCTGACAGACTAGCGAGGGAGATGGAGCAGAAGAGCATTGTGAGTGCTCGCGAACTACGAGCACTGCTGAGTTCTTTCCGCAACGACGGTGATGACAATTTGGATGTGGATGATAGTGGGAGGAGCACCTGGTGACACTTTTTTTTTCTCAAGAGACCACCGGCTTTCAGCAGCCTTCTAACCTATCCACGTCAGTGATTTTAAATTTTTGGGCGTTGAATTGGAAATCAACGCGTGCTACTTACCCCATCTCTTGCCGGTGAGGTGGCAACAGCCTCATTTCTTCCGGTCGGGCTGGCACGGGGAGTCCTCAGCCTCGCGGTTCTTGTGCCAAGGCTCTACCTCATCGACATTGTACTTTTGACACATTGTGGCCACGGGGTGGGCCACAACAGGTGTACCATGTGCAGATCTGTGCAATCAAAAGCAAGATCCACGGGTAACTTGAAGCCACCTGAGTGAGCTCGTTCATTTAACACTAGCTGTCCAAATGACATTACCAAAGATCTATTGTCTGTTTTCAAATCCTTGTACTCTTCTAGCTTGGTACCACAAAATTTTCAAACTCATGTGCATTTTGTGCCTATGGTGCACTGGGAAACCGGTGAGGAAGGTGTGACTGCAGGAAGGTAAAATTTGTTCGCTTACTCTGATATGTAATTTGGTTCCACATGCTCCAATGATACCACAGATATGTACATTACTTTCTCTCAAGACATGTTAATGTTATGTGAAGTTACTTTCTTCTTCAGTGCCTCAAAAAAAATCTGGCTTATTTTCCATTAGTAATATACTAAGTGGAGAAGGGGAGCCTTGGCGCAGTGGTAAAGCTGCTGCCTTGTGACCATGAGGTCACAGGTTCAAGTCCTGGAAACAGCCTCTTGCAGAAATGCAGGGAAAGGCTGCGTACATCTTGCAGAAATGCAGGGAAAGGCTGCGTACAAAAGACCCAAGTGGTCGGACCCTTCCCCTGACCCTGCGCAAGTAGGAGCTACGTGCACAGGGGCTGCCCCTTTTTTTTTAATATACTATGTGGGCTTAGAGTGGAATTCCTTATGTGAGAACCTTTTTTCCTGTAGAAATTTTATGGTAAGTAGAATCTTGGACCTTTCATATTAGGGAACATGAAAGATCGTCATTTAGCAATCCAACTGAATTTGCATAGTTAAATACTCCATTGGCATAAAAATGTTTCTAATTTAGACCACCAAGCAATTGTGCTGCATAGTTAATTACTCGATTGGCATAAAAATGTTTCTAATTTAGACCACCAAGCAATTGCACTGCATGGTTACCAATTTGTGAGAATTGAGAGATTGCGGAGAATTGCTTTTGAGAAATGCATCTACATGTAACATGTTGTTGAATTCAAAGGCAAAAATATTCTGATGTCAGCAATTCTACTTAGGATCTAATTGGCTAAGGCAAATATTAGGAATGAGAAATAATTACTATGTCAGGATGCTAAATCCCAAATGTAGTTTTCCCGCTGCTCATACCTAATGCCATGAAGATTTGAGATTGCATAGCTGTAGCGATTTTTTTTTAAATTTTTCTTTGTTTAAAGCATCTGCATTGTTTAATTCAAGGCGTATTTGTTTTATCTCCAACTTTTTTTTTCTCAAACAGACTTATCTCCACCTTCATCATGTTTGACATCAACAGGGAAACCTTAATGTTTCATAAGGCATTTTTTCACTGTTGATGTTAAAATCATTGCCATTGTTTTTTTCAGACTCCTATTTTTTTTTTCATCTTCTCTGACCCAAATCCGAGAAGCTTATGTTGCTCCTGCCCTTGGTCAGTGGAACACTTTGCTAGGTATATGTCTCTCTTGCACACAGAGGAAGGGCACGCAGCTGTCTATTCAGCATTTCACCTCACTGCTCTAATCCCATTCCTTGTTTCTGTTTCCTACGAAAATAGATGTTCCTGTAGGAAGTGAGCGGTGCCTACCAGCAGCACAACGGTGAGATCTAGAGTCCAACTCATGGATCTCATCAGTATTGTATCCACTAGACTACCATCGTGCCAGCGTGGCCATGCCTCCAAGGTGTTTGATCAATGCCTGTAAATTAGATTTGTATGAGATTAAAATCTGAGGATTCTCAGCGCATGATAACTGCACATGAATTTGTAGCTCTGGAATTACTTCAGACACCTGCATTCGTTATCTTATCTAGTGAGTTATTATCTAATAGGATATTAGCACTGACCTCCAATACTGTATTTGCATGTCATTGCAGGATATTTGGCCTATGATGGATTTGAAGGATAATTCTCTCTTTAGATTAAATAGATGAGATTGTGAGCTGATCTGTCACTTTATTCCAAAATTTAGTCAGGCATGAGTGATTTACGGAATATCGCTCTGATGAAGTGATTACTTCTGGGGTCGGTGTATGGAAAGAAGAGCAGAAAATAATTGTAAACACTATCAAGAGTTTTGTGTTTGTCACAAAGAAA